ACTCTATGGACAACATGGTTCTAACGTATGATTTTTCGATATAATCACTGCATCCACCCGAAATGGATGCTGACATTTTGAAGCCGGATTTTCGGTGTTTTTTGATTTTTTCTTATAATTAGGATGCACATCCAGATAACGGACTAAACTAATTATAGGATTGTAGAACTCGTGACTTTGCTTCGTTTCGTGTATATCTCATGAATGTGCTGACCGTAGCTTCTTTGCAATTGGGCTCCAAAGACGAAAATTTGGTACGTAAATTTTTATAAAAAACATATTTTTTGAGGCTAAAATTAAAAAAACTCCATTAAAATTCCGTGGAACCCCGCGTGATTTTAGTTTTTTTACGTGGCGGATCTAATGAGCCCATCCATACTCAATTCCGCCCAATAAAACGGCGGATATAGGTACCTTGAATGTGTGAAAAACTGCAAAAACTTATTTTGACAAATTAGTGTATATAATCGCGTTTTTCTTCGAATTTATTTCACATATATTCATTCTTGTGTTATCATATTCGCGAATCTGTGTGAAAATAGGTCAAAAATATATTGATACGGGAATAATATACGTATTTTATCCAAAATCGATTGTGGAGGCACATCCGCGGTTCTTAACCGAACCTTTTAAAATAGGTGTCGTTTTGTGTATTTTTATAGGAGATTACTGAAATCGGATGCGCATAAAAATCGTATGCACTTTGCATCATTTTTAGCCATTTTTAAGGTTTTTGCATAGTAAAGTGCATCGAATGGCACACTTTAGCCGAAAAATTCATAATTATTGGAAGAGATTGATTCGGTTTATACGAAAACCGCATGCATAACAACTGATTTCCGGGAATACGCGAATAGCATGCTTCAATATTGACCATTTTTATATATTGTAAGTGCAATATATTTAGTCAGTTTTAAAGTCGAAATTCTTATCAGATGAATCTACCGATATTTAACAATCATCTAAAAGAATTTGAAGAAGAAAGCGTCGCATATTTTAGAAGATTAAGGCAAAACCGTAATCCCTTAACCATACTAAAAATCGAAAATTCAAAAAAAAAAAATATTGTCTTAAATAAAAAATTAATTTATTTTATTTCAGTTGTCTTCATGTCTTTATTTGTTTTTCGCTACTATTAAACCATATTTCAATGCGATATAACTTTTGTGCATCCGAATATACCTTTATAGTGGGTGTATGTCAAAAATGGATGTATATTGAATATTCTCTACAGATATATATAACCCTCCGAAACCAGGCAATTCCAAATTACAAGCAACAAATAAAGTTACACCATGTTTCTTTGGACCAAATTCGTTTTAGAAAATTTGGAGTCGATTTACATTTTATCCAAACATTGCACATCTTAATATTTCTTTCGAACTTAATTTAAGTTCGAAGATGGGAAATACAGGTCAAAGGTGCGAGATAAGACGGGGTTTTTGGAAATTCGTACTAGAACGGTACAAAAAGTACTAAATGTGATACCATTTGTATTTGGCCAACCGGTAGAGCTATAACTCTTAAATTTTAAATGAGGGTCAATAATGGAGTGTAGAATAGATATAGCAAAGGGTTTTTTGGACATTCGAACTATAAGTATGCGAAAAGTACTAAAATGTACTAAATTTGGTACAATTTCGTAGCATGTGAATGGATAAAGCTAAAAACTTGAAATTTGGAATGCGAATAAGGGTTAAGATGTAGGGTCTATTTAAGGAGTTGGTTTTGAAAGCGTGTACTCATGTGTACGAAAAGTGCTATATGCTACTATATTTGCTACAAATTTAATTTTGAGATACAAATCGAGCTCGAATCCTGTATATGAACGTAGTTTTGGAAATTTGTTACCTATATGTACTAAAAGTACTAAATCGTACTATAATCGGAAAACTTGGATTTAGGATCAGTGTTGGGGGTTAGGATTGGGGTATGTAGAATGTTTTAGAAATTCGTACTACTGTATACTAAATTTGGTACAATTTGATTTGTCAGTGAAATTTGGAAATCATTGGTTGAGGAGGGTACTTATGGAAATTATGTGTGCTAAATGGAAAATTTGTTAAAATTTGGATTTGGGTGAATCTTTAGAGCTCGAATCATGAAATTTGGTACTAAATGGTACTCAAATTTAATTTATGGCCGATATTAATGTGTGGATTGTTTTTTAAATATTACCCATATTCGCTAATGTAGTAACGGACATATGCTAGTATTTTATAAACTTGTAAAATTTGAAGTGAAATCCGAAATATCTTTGGTAAAAACATATACCTTATAAATTTATAGCAAAAATATAACCTTTTCGTATTTTACCGAAAACTTGCAAAATTTAGTGTATATTTGAAGTGAAACCGACTGACAATTTTCTCTTATAAATATATAGCAAACATATAATCTCTGTCATACACATTTATAATTTAATTCCAATAAAAACTTATGTTCATTGATCTTATCAGAAAACAGAAAACTATGACACAACAACAAATAATTTTCGAAGGCGAAAGCAGAAGCGTAGGTCAAGTGAATGCCTGCCACAACATCAAAAATCTGTTGGATAAATAAATCTGCGGTTACTTTCACAAGCAAGCAGCTTCAGCATATGGTTGGTAGGTAGATGAAATGACACAACCAAAAAAACAGAATTTCCTCGTCTCTTGTCAAAACTTAAACCAATTTGTTAAAAAAGTACAACAATAATTTAACAAAACGATAAAGAATGTGGAAAATAAGGCGAATAATAAACGACAACGGAAAAAAAGTTCAGTTCGGCTGACAAAAACCGCATAAAAGAATTTAACGTCAATCACTTACATTTCACAGGCAATTTATTACATTAGTCTACCGAAATAAAATCAAACGCACTGTATGACATTGTATGCGTAAAGGATAACAAAAGGATCAGGAAGAGGTTTTTTGCTCTTTAAAGTAAGGCAACATAATGAGTTTTTAAACTTCTTCTTTATTTAAAAAAAAAATAATAATCAATAAATTTCGAATAGATTTTTTTGTTAAGCCAGCCAGTCAGTGGTGTCATAAATTTGCAAATGACTTTTTAGTATCCCCGTTGCACAAATCGGCTGAAGTGAATTCTCGTCGTCTACTTTCTCAATTTCCTCATTGTTATGCCTACGACGACGATGATGACTTCAATACTCGTAACTTGGAATAAATTATGTCCCAGTCCAAATAAGCACCAACGAGATGTCGCACATTCTCCTCCGTGTCATCGTAGCCCGTACGACCATGCAACAGACGAATATTATTAAATGTCAGAACGTCACCGGCCTTTGTCTTGAACGAGTGGGCGTCCTCGCGAGCCATACATACAAATTTGGCATAGGCTTCGTACCAGGGTATCACAGCATCCAGTGCCACCGAAAAATGGCTGTCACGTTGAGGTATACTGTGATTTATACGCGTATAATTTCCGTCATTGTCTAAGCTGTATGGTGATGGAGGGAGAGAATGAAGGGGGTAGAATAGAGAGAGAGAGTAAAATAAAGTTGGCAGAAAAACTCGTTTAAAAAATGCAGTCAACGTTGCTATTGATGATTATGGGATGATGAGGTTGATGATAATGACGATTGTAATCATGATTGTTTTTTGGTGGTGGTGGTGAAGCCGCTATAGGACAGAATCAATGTCTCATAAACCAAGTTCGTATTAAGAACTATACACAATGATATATATATATATGTATATATTAGGAAAGTTATCAAGAAGGAAGTAAAACTAAATTGACTGTGTTCCGAAAAGACAAAGTTTAAGCAAACAAAGCGTTGATTTTTCTGAAAATCGTCCAAACCCTGGAGTTTTAAAATTATTTTATATACACTGCCAAAGCTTCAATTCACCGGCGGCCCCATAAATCATATGTATATTCTTAGTCAGAATAAAATGTTATGAAGATTTACTCATGACATTTTCCACATACATTGTTATTACTCCTATGATTGGGATATATCGGTACAATTTTTAGGGTTTAGGGTACGTTTTTCAACGTAATAACCTGTAATTTGGTTTATTGGATATTAAAATTTTTTACTAAAAATTTTTAATATAGATTCTCTTTTTTGGGAACTTTGGAGATGTGTTTCAATATTTTGGATTCTCATTAAGTACTAAAAATTATCAGCATTGGTCCAAGTTTTGGAATAATGTCCCTATTAAAGTTCCTCCCCTTTTTCTGTATTCGAACTACCACATAAAGTAACCACATGTAAATGTCCCGACCGAATTAAGATAATTTTAATTCACGTCACATGGTGAAGGATATATAAACGACCCGGCAAAATTTAACGACATTTTTGCTTGTTTAAAAACATTTTTTCTCACGACTCAACCCGTACTCTCTCAGTTTTTAAACTCGTAGATTTTTTAAATACTTTTTTTCATTTTTTTCATTTTTTTTTGAAAGACCATTGCAGAGTGGATTTTTTAAAAATAATGTCTTCGAGAGTTTACCATGGAGTTTAAATAATTTTTTTGATGGGCAATAAAGCGTGGATTTTTTATAAATAATTTTTGAGAAGGACTGGACATGGGCTTTAAAAAAATTTCGGGTGACTATAAAAGCGTAGACCTTTAAAAAAATTTTTAGACATAGATTTTTTAAATAATTTTTAGAAGACTATCAAAGGTGGTTATTTTTTTAATAATTTTTAGGAATGACTACCAAATGAGCATTTTTAACGTGAATATTTTTTAAACAATTGTTTCAACAGACCTTCATAACTAGATAATTTTAAATAAATTTGTTCGTATGGTTATCAAAAAAAGGTAAAGTATATTTATTTCGAAGGACTATCAAATCGAAGGACGAAAGACTATCAAAACGTGGATTTAAAAAAATCGAACGACTTTCAAAGTGACATGTTTGAAACATATTTCTTCGAAAGAAAAAATGTGGAAGGGCAATGAAAGCTTCAATTGTTCAATAATAATTTTTAAGAAGGACTATAAAAGGATGGACTTAAAAAAATTTCGAAGGACTATCAATGCGTGGGTTTTTATACCCTTCACCACACTGTGGTGCAGGATATCTTTGTGCATATGTTTGTAACAGGCAAAGGGAATCGAGATAGACCTATGGTTCCTTTTGATAATATGCATAGAATCATGAGTCGATTTACGCATGTCCGTCTGTCCGTCCATGTATTTTTGTTAACAAAGTACAGGTCGCATTTATGATCCGATTTGGATTAAATTTGGCACAGTTCACTTATTTGGCCCAAGGACGAACCCTTTTGAAATTGGAGAAAATCGGTTCAGATTTAGATATAGCTCCCCGATTTTATATAAATGATGCACCAAACTCCCAATATTTGTCCGATTGGGACAAAATTTTGCACAGCGCACTGAATCAAGTCATGTTTATGTGTTTTGTTGGAATCGGTTTAGTTTTAGATATAGCTCTCATATATATAGTGATCCGATTTTATGTGATTGATGCACCAAATTTTCAATATTTTTCCTATTGGCACAAAATTTTGCACAGAATTCTGAATTAGGCCCAGACTTATGTCTGCGAAGTTTTGTTAAAATCGGTTCAGATTTAGATATAGCTCCCATATATAGTTTCGTCCCATTTTTTGGTTAATGATACACCAAACTCCCAATATTTGTCCGATTGAGACAAAATCTTGCACAGTGTACTGATTTAGGTCCAGACTGATGTCTGCGAAGTTTAGTTAAAATCAGTTCAAATTTAGATATTGCTCCCATATGGGCAATATTGCCAATTTTTAAACATAGCTGAAGCGGAGGTTCACCCCTTTATAACTCGGGAACTACTTAAGTATATGAAACAAAGTGAATAGTTTTGGGTTAATTGATCTGTCGTTGCAAACTGTCCATGATATTGACCTCCAAACTTTATTTTGGTGGAAGCTGTGTCTACTTTAATGTAAAAAAATGTGTAAAAACAGGCTGAGGCGAACCAGTTTTTTTATGTTCTCTATCGATTTGTGACTAAGCCACTCATTGCACGGTCTTCATGTCAAAATAAAACTAGAAGCCAACAAAATGGCGATTACGCCCCTTATGTATTATTTTTCAAAATTTTGACTGCATCTACCTTTAAATGATGCTGACATTTTGAAGCTCGATTTTGAGTGTTTTTTAAATTTTACTTCTAGCTTTAATGCGCAAACAGGAATTTATAAAAATCGATTATAAGATTATTGTAGCCGCGAATCTGCGTAATTTGATATGTATTTTGTGTATGTAGTATGCACAGCATCAGAGTAATACTCATCCGAAGCTGCGAATTTTGTGCGATCAAATTTCTAAAAAACCTATTTTTCGGGCCAAATTTTTCAGGGACCGAAAATAACAGTTATTTTTCAAAATGCGAACAAAAAAATCTTCATGTTAGAGACATGGGACACCAATAGTGTCATATACCAATAGATTCGTATTGAGGAGCCCATTAAGGATATTGAGTGATCTTGAGAAAACACTCTCAGTTCCCATGTTAAGGATTATTTTTTAACGGAAAAAATAAACGTTGATTTTTAACTGTTAAAAATGATTTTTATTTTTCCGTCAAAAATAAAAGTCTTTTTGGGATTTTTATTTTTTCCGTCAAAAATAAAAGTCTTTTTGGGACTTTTATTTTTTCCGTCAAAAATAACAGTTTTTTTGGGACTTTTATTTTTTCCGTCAAAAATAAAAGTCTTTTTGGAACTTTTATTTTTTCCGTCAGAAAATAAAAGTCTTTTTGGGATTTTTATTTTTTCCGTCAGGAAATAAAACTCTTTTTATGTAAAGAAGTTTATACAACTTGTAATCTGTTATAAAATTACAATTTATAAATCTCTGTCCTTATTACAATAAGTGTACACATAAGTAATCAAGATCAAAGGTAAAAAATATTTGTTATAAATTTTTAAAAAATAGTCTAGTATACCAAATCATGAATATAAATTAAAGAATCATTCCCCTGACTATTAGGTCAAAGGTTATATAAGTGGTACCAAACTCTATATGTTTATTTACGTAAAAAGACTTTTATTTCCTGACGAAAAAAACAAAAATCACAAAAAGACTTTTATTTTTGACGGAAAAAATAAAAGTCCCAAAAAGACTTTTATTTTTGACGGAAAAAATAAAAGTCCCAAAAAAACTGTTATTTTTGACGGAAAAAATAAAAGTCCCAAAAAGACTTTTATTTTTGACGGAAAAAATAAAAATCCCAAAAAGACTTTTATTTTTGACGGAAAAAATAAAAATCATTTTTAACAGTTAAAAATCAACGTTTATTTTTTACGTTAAAAAATAAATAATTAAAGTGGATCTTTTTTATTTAGGTCACATAAGTTATTTTTTACCTGATTTGATATAAGTTATAACCGTTACGGTCCCTGAAATTTTTAGATCTGTCAACTGAATGATATGGGTACCCGCGATCAATAAGGTTTTTGACGTTTCGGATGATATAAAATCTTCTTCGTGAAAATCCATCTATTAGAACGGCGGGAACTGCCCTTCCAAAAACACTAAATTTGGCAAAAAATGTTTTTGAAAATATCGCGGATTTATTTGCGTTTTCTGTGTATCATTTCCGCTTCAATAAATGACCTCATACGGATTTTGATATTTTTTGAAAAGAGAACTTTAAAAACTTCAGCCGAAAGAGAGATGTACGCAATTTATCTCAAAAATAGATTGTGCTGGCACATCCATGGTTCTTAATGGACCACATTGAAATGGTAAAGATCGATGTATTTTTTTAGGGTGCACACCGAAATCGGATGCGCATTAATGGCATATGGAGTTTTCGGAAATTATTCGCGTTTTACAATTTTTTGGGTACTTCAATGTAACGTGCGGCACATCTTAGCCGTCAAATAAAATTTCGCATAATATATATGGATTGGAAGATAAACTTCAGTACTTCCTGGAAACCGCATGCGCATCAAATGATTTTGAGAATTACGCGATTTATCTCAAAAATAGTGTGAGCTGGCACATCCATGGTTCTTAATGGACCACATTCAAAATCGGTATAGATCGATGTATTTTTTTAGGGTGCACACCGAAATCGAATGCGCGTTAATGGCATATGGAGTTTTCGGAAATTATTCGCGTTTTACGATTTTTTGGGTACTTCAATGTAACGTGTGGCACATCTTAGCCGTCAAATAAAATTTCGCAAAATATATATGGATTGGAAGATAAACTTCAGTACTTCCTGGAAACCGCATGCACATCAAATGATTTTGATAATTACGCGATTTAGACGCAATTTATAATGTATATTTTATAATATTATTTTATTTTAAGATTTATTCCTATTTATAGAATTCTAAGATTTATCGGAAGGGTCTTGATATAATCCGCAAGGCGTATACTTATACACAAAATTAATATAGGCGTATACTTATACAAGTGATTATTATTATATATGTCAATTTTTCGGCGAAATTCGGGTAAAAAAGCAGAATAATCCCAACATGTTTTTCTGAAATTTCTTGTATAAAATTAAAAAAATAAATATGATGACATTATTTTTTCGAACCACAAACAAATATTTTTCCCCAAAATCTTGTTTTGTTGTCGCTGTGATTAACAAACCGCTATACGGACTTGTGTAATTTTGATATCATTTGATTCACCATGGTGTTTAGATTATGTAGATATTTTTAAAATAATTTTTAGGTGTGTGTATGTCATTAATATAATGAAAATATTGGTGTAATCTGCTATATTTTTTTAATTTTCTCATATTTCGCGAATATGTGCAACTTTATCGTGATTGTTATAATATATTCATATTCTTACTTTACGGAGGAAGATATATATCAACGTTTTCGGTCAATATAATAAACGGCGTAATTTTAAGATTTTTTTCTTATGCCCAAAATTAAAACCTCGATAACTTTTGCGCGCATCAACCAAAAATTTGATCGCGAACGGTTTCGGAGTCAGAACATTTTTCTCTATATGTGTACCAAAAATCATTGATGTGCCACAAAAACAAAAAAGCTAATTTTTTGAAAATGGAATATTAAAAAATTGGCAATATTGCCCATATATAGTTTCGTCCAATTTTATGTGAATGATGCACCAAACTCCCAATATTTGTCCGATTGGCACAAAATTTTGCATAAAGTACTGATTTAGGTCCAGACTGATGCCTGCGAAGTTTTGTGAAAATCGGTTCAGATTTAGATATAGCTCCCATATATAGTTTCGTCCGATTTTTTGGTGAATGATACACCAAACTCCCAATATTTGTCCGATTGGGACAAAATTTTGCACAGAGTACTGATTTAGGTCCAGACTGATGGCTGCGAAGTTTAGTTAAAATCGGTTCAGATTTAGATGAATGATACACCAAACTCCCAATATTTGACTGATTAAGTAAAATTAAGAAAAAAAAACCAGTAAGGAAAGTGGTAAAGTCGGACGGGGCCGACTTTCACCACTTTGGGTAAATTCAACAGATGAATCTTAACAGACGTCGCATTTTTGATTTTCACGAAACTTAACACACATCATTCTAGACTTTATTCAGTACGCTGTACCAAATTTCGTGGAAATCGAAAGGTATACAGAGACTTTGGCACACCATTTTCCTTAAATCGGACGAAAATATATACGGGAGTTATATCTAAATCTGAACCGGTTTCCACGAAACTTAGCATACATCATTCTAGGCTTATTTCAGTACGCTGTGTCAAATTTCGTGCAAATCGAAAGATATTTAGGGACATTGGTGCACCATTTACCTTAAATCGGACGAAAGTTTATATGGGAGCTATATATAAATCTGAACCGATTTTTATGAAACTTAGCATACATCATTCTAGACTTAATTAAGTACGCTGTGCCAAATTTCGTGCAAATCAAAAGATATATAGGGACTTTGGTGCACCATTTACTTTAAATCGGACGAAAATATATATGGGAGCTATATCTAAACTGAACCGATTTTTCCCAATTTCAATAGGGTTCGTCCTTGGGCCAAATAAGTGACGTATGCCAAATTTCATCCAATTCGGATAATAAATGCGACCTGAACTTTGTTTACAATTTAACATGGACAGACAGACGGACGGACATGCATAAATCGACTTAAAAAGTGATTCTATGCATATTCTCAAAAGCAACCATGGGTCTATCTCGATTATTTTTGCCTGTTACAAACATGTGCACAAAGACATAATACCCTGTACCACAGTGTGGAGAAGGGTATAATGATGCTTGATAAGTTTTTTTGAAATCGGTTCAGATTTTGATATAGGTCTCATATATATTTCGTTCGATTTAATGTAAATGGTGGTTACACGAAATTTGGCAGAGGGTATTAAATTGAATATAGTGATTACAAAAAAACAAGTGGTGTATGCAACGGTTACTCAATTAGGTCCATGTGTTTATATAAAGCTCCCATACATAATTTATGGGAGTCAAAGGTCAAAGGACTATCAAAGGGTGGATTTTTATACCACACATAACTATGTTGTCAGGTAATTAAAGCTTTGTGCAACCTCAAGAGTTTGTAACGCCGGGAAATATTTGTCCTAGAGGCACCTAGTTGAGTCGATCTAGACATGTGTGTCCGTCCGTCTGTCCATTATAACTTATCAACACGATACAAGCCACAGTTATGGACCACGAAATTTTGCATGTAGGATGGGATCATTAACCAGAACCGTATTTTTAGTAAAGATTGGTTAAAATTTAAGGGATGAAATGGACCAATTACTTAATTTTTGTCGTTTTTTCTTGTCCGAACATCGCGAAATTTTACATATAGATAGGGGATCGGGCGCGTCAAATGGAACCTGACTTTTGTGTGAATAATGACAAAATTTGTATTCTATGGCGTATATATTTACTCTTGATGGACATAGACCCGAGAAATTAACAGTACATTCAAGTGGTTAACCTTTAAATTGATACCCATTATATAGTCGTGTGTACTCGGATGTGGGAGATAAACTTCAATATTTATAGGAGCTTTCGTATTCAGATATTATTTAGTAACCCATTAACAATAGAGGGCAGAAATATAGCACTGATCGCTTTTAAATTTTCCAAGAGGTTCCAGTGTCGAAACTTTTTTATATTAAAAAAAAAAAATCTTAATACATATTATGAAGGAATTTTAAAAACACCATACACTTCATTTTAGTTTTTCTCAATTATTTTGTGGAGGTTATTTGCCATTCGGAATACAATATGTGAAACTATAACCGATCTATGATACTTGTTCTTGAAGGGACCACCAAACCTTTTACAGTGATTATTTTTACAGATATGTTTTTGACTTGCAAATGCCTATACAATCAATGAATGATTTCACACCCACCTACCAATACTCTATACATTCATCAAGAATTCCTTCATTACCGCCAAATGTGTACAAAGAGAGACAAAAAAAAAATGCAATATAATGAAGGCACCCAGTCGTCTCCAGACGTGCTATCGCAAATGAAGTGTCATAGCGATAAAAATGTATTGGAATGTCGACGGATGGGATCGAAACTACCACCCAAACCATTTACCACAAAGGTTGTCTACTTGGTTTCAATGAATATTTCCGTGTTCCCATCACGCGCAGCCGGAACAGAACAAGGAAATAAGATAGAAACACTAGAGAATAAACTCGTAGCAATAAATAAATTGAAAATCGATTTTTTCTCTGCTTTCGTATCCTTGGTGTTTGTGTTGCACCGGGGAGCAACCAACAACGAGTGCAGTAACATGAAATAAAATAAAAAAGGCACGGGATAGGAATATACTGTACGTAACCAATATTCAGTATTGAGCGTCTAGAGACAAACTGTCGTTACAACAACAAGGATATTGTTTGTTACAACCACATATGTTTATATTGGGGAGTGCAAGTATTTATTTTTCAGCTCAGGATGATATCCTTTTAATAGGGAATTAACAATGGGTTAAGAACTTTTCTTAAGGTCTAAAACAAATCGGATTTTATAGAGAATATTTCTACAATGACTATTAAGGGGTTAATTTCTTAAGGATTATTTTTCCAAGGACTATAAAGGCGTGGATTTTTTAAATATTATTTTTCTAAGGACTTTTAAGGCTTGGATTTTTTAACATTAATTTTTCAAGGACCATTACGGCTTGGATTTTTTTAACATTAATTTTTCAAGGACCATTACGGCTTGGTTTTTTTCCAAATTAATTTTTCAAGGACTTTTTTTCACGATTAATTTTCCAAGGACTAATAAGGCGTGGATTTTTTCACGATTAATTTTCCAAGGACTATAGCCTCGTCGATTTTTTCAAAGATTATTTTCCAAGGACTATAACGGCGTAGATTTTTTAAAGTTTAATTTTTCAAGTACTTTTAAGGCGTGGATTTTTTATTTAAAGATTAATTGTTCAAGGGCGTAGATTTTGTTCAAGATTATTTTTTTAAATACTAATATTTTCAAGGACTTTTAAGGCTTGCTACTTTTACAGTTGACACTGTTCCGCTGCTTCTATAATCCTTTGTCATAAACTATGAATAGTTTAGCATAAAAAAATCGATATCACTTCAACTACGCTATACACATCCTGCTCGACCTCCCTCACTCTATCTGCTCTGAAAGCAAAAACAGCTAAAAATCACAGGTTTCTGATAAAAAACTACCAGTACACTACAGTGTGTGACATAATGTTTTTAACAATAAATTATTCAAAAGAATATTTTCGAAAAATAGACACCAACAACTATTGCAAATCCTTTAGAAAACTGCAGTTCAATAAAACACCCAACTACCACCCCAAACCTAAAGACCCTCAAACAACACACTCTTCATTCCATTTCAATTGATGACTAAAACGCAAGGTGACTATGATGGCATGCGATTGTGAGAATGAATTTCAATTGAGGTTATGTTTGTTTTTCGTCGGTTTTTTCAGTGTGTTTGTTTTTTCTTCCTTGACTCTTACCATATGACCGGAGCACGCCAAATGTTATGGAAATTTTTGCCATCCTCACTGCCAATGTCATTCCAATCCACCAGGGTCTCCGTTAAAATCTTGTAATCCTCTGGGTATTCCGTTTTCATGCGATCGGCAATGTGGAAGCCATCGACCAACAGATTACTGCCACCCTGAGATTTCGATTGCACCATGCAGTGTAAAATATTGCAGCCGGGCTTGTATTCGTAGTAGGGCAAATCGGTGTGTAATGGCAGTGGATCCGAAAGATAGGCAACGTTCTTAGCACCTGGTTTATTTTGAACAATAAACTCCTCACTTTGGTAAATGTGTGTGTGTGTGCGTTTAAGTGTGAGTGCGGTTTGCAAAGAGGTTGGCAGCCAGCAAACAAAGGAAAATATTTAGCCAAAGGATGAGAGAACATAAAAAATAAAACTTAAATGCAAACACAATTAATTTATATGTCACACAATTTATTTACCCATATGTCGTGCGACGTATGAAACCAACACGCTCCGCTAATTGCCGCACCACTGTCTTATCGATGGGTGCATCTCTGATTAGGGCCACACCATAAACGGCCAAGGCTTCCAGCCAGTTTTTAAGGGCTACAAAATAATAAAAAAAAGAAAAACGTGAATAGCGTTAATAAATTTTAGAAAATGTAAATATTATATTTTAAAAATGGAATTATTCCTCAGGGTTTCCTATATGAAAATGAAAAATATTCGTACTCAGTGCCAAGGCTCAGTGGGAAAGAATTTTTTTCAGTAGACTAAAAAAGGGACTACCAAACATTAAGTTTTCAGGGACTTAGGAAAAATTTTAATCTAAACCAATTGTTAACATAAAATAAAGAATCCTCAGTGACTGAAATTTCTCAGAGAATTACGAATTTCATTCTACAGAAAAAATTACCACAAAAAATTACTTTTCCGTCATTGGCGACCTTTGGTTTTTATTTTACAGAACAATATTTTCTTAGCCGGAGTAACAAAAAACTTAGTCTTTAGAGACAGAAGACTGAAAAATTAGTCTTCACTAACCTAGGATTTCTATATTTGGATTAAAAAATTACTTTTTGTAGAACAAATCAGTCTTCGGTGGACGAAGATTTTCCTCCTATAGAGGAAAAGATTTTCCTCCTATAGAAAAACATAAGTCCTCAGTCGGTTTTGCCGACAGATAAACAACCTACGACATTTTTCTACGCGATATTAGTTTGCCGAGATCTTCCGATTTAGTGGGTAAAGGAAAACGTTGTTATATATACCCTTAATCTATGGTTTGGGGAGGTAGATACCAAGAAGTGTTACCTTATAGACACAACTTCAACTTCAAATTTCGTATGAAATTTGCCAGTTTTTTTTTTTTTTTTGACCCTTTGTTTAGGGAGGTACCAGAAGCAAAAGAACAATCTTCAGACTTGATATAGGAATCAAATCGGACACTACATTTACATGAGGTGCTGATGGCTTTAGCTGATATTTTTTATAAATTTTTTATACCAGCCAGTTTTACTGCCACGGAACTCAATTTCACGATATTTGGAATCTCTTGACCGAATTTTGTTTTCTAGATGTGAAGATTTATGTCCATAAATGCAAATCTTGTAATTTAACACAGAAATATCTTGGCTGATTTAACCCGCTGAATATTGACCAATCAATACGAAAGCAGCTCTCCAATTAGTTGGCCGAATTCCCTTCCCCATTGCCAAATACTTCGTTCCATTTAAGTTCCGAAATAATATATAATAACCGAAAATTGTAGGCCTTGACCATAACCGGAACCCCATGCAAAATTTTCTAGCCACCAGCACTACATTTCCACCGTTTAGTGTGGTAATGGTAATACTAATCAATATCAGAATGGAAATATCGAGCATAATTTGTATCTATTTCAAGGTAGCCACTCCTCTTGGATTTACTTTCACCATGTCGGCTCTATGTCCTTCTGGAGTAAATATATACGCCATAGAATGCAAAATTTTTAATTTTTCACACAAAAGTCTTGATCCATTCGAATCTTTTAATAATGACCGATCTTTATAAAAGCTGTCATACTCCCCTTTCCCATGTAAAATTTTGTGAGGTTCTGGTCATAATTGTGACCTATAGGGCATCCAGAATAACCGACAAAAATAAAGTTTTTTGTCAATTTCCTCTCCTAAATATTAACCGATCATTACCAAAAAACAATAGGGGACAGAACCGGCCCTACATGAAATAAATCGTGACGATTGGTTCATAAATGTGTAAGGGACAGACGGGCAGTCGGACACACATGCCTACTAGTTCGATTGGTATACTACAAAGTGGGTCTACGACTGATATTTCGCGGCGTTACAAACCCTTGGAGGTACTCACAGCTATAATACCCTGACAACATTGTTGTGTAGGGTAAAAAATGTGAACGATTCACTAGAAGAAGTTTTACCAATAGGCCCCATTGTCGAATTTGATCTGTGATTGATAAAAATATTAAGATTTTTATTAGATTTCCAAGATTAAAAAATACTTTAATCCTTTGTCGGAGAGATATCAGAAGTTCAGGACCGGTAAGCCCCATATTCTAATTTGCCTTAGGTTTGGAAAAAATATTATATCCATTACTCCTTCCGAGGGAGATATTTGAAAATCGACTCCAAATTGTCTGGTTCAAAGATACTTTGAGTCTAAAACCAAAATTTAGATGAGGAACATAGAAAACTGTATACACTCTCATTTTAAATCAGTCGGGACATTCATACTGAAACTATTTGATTGTTAATTGTCGGCCAGAAAGTCATACATGCTCTGAGAAAATCAAATACAAAATTAAAAGTAATTTTCTTGGACTATGTCAAAATATGAACCAATATCGAAAATAATCGGCAAACATGTATTTAAACCTCCAAAAACCTTGAATGCTAAAATATGGCTCCATCGGTTGAAAAATCTTACTTAAAATTACCGAAAATATAACAGAACCCTCATATGGAGGGCATATCGAAACTTGGAGTTACATAGACAATTTTCTGCAAAAATTAGGTGGGACAATGTAGATAAAATCTTCAAAATATCGAAATAGGTGGGAACTATTTTTTGAAAAAACTATTCTGAACTATTCTGAAAAAATATATTTTTCACCCTTCAATAACCTTGAATGCATATTACAGCCACTGCGTTGCAAAAATGCGGCTAAAACCTTCAAAATACCGACATTCGGACCGGACCTTTATATGGGGTTATTTCACAACATGGATTTATATTTTATTTCTGCATTGATGTCACCATCTATAGTTCAAAAAAATTCAGTCACTTCGAAGAGAAAAATGCGGCTATAACCTTCAGAAAACCGAACGCTATGGAAACTCAAAGTACCGTTTTGGTTGAAAAACGTGCCAAAAATCCCCGAAATATCGAATATTTGAAGAAGCCGTTTTATTGGGGGCTATACCAAAACGCCAACCGATATATACCCAGTTACTCAATATCTTAGGAGTAGGAACAATGTATTTGCAAAATTGCAAAGGTCTATCTGAAATTTTGCAATCTCTATCGTGATAACAACAGACGGACATGAATACTTCGAGGTATTACAAACGGAATGACAAATTTAATATACACACTACTTTATGGTGGAAGGTATACAAATAATACTCAGGAATTGCGGAACTGAAGACTATTTTTATTTTTTTTTTTTCATAAAAACCCCTCAATAACTGAGGACAGAATTTTTTCTATTGGAAAAAATGCCCAGGCATAATTTTTCCTATGGAAAAAATTCTTTCTTTAGTTACTGAGGTGTTTTATATCGAAATAAAAAAAATTGTCCTCAGTGCCTTCTAATTAACCTCATGTTACGTTACTCTAGTTTTTGACCTCAATAACTCCGGATAATTAATTAATTTTTGTCCTGCAAATTTCCAACTAACCTTCATCATTATTCAAAACATTTTTATAGTCAAAAATTTGATTGATTTCTTTAAATTCAGCACCACGCCAATGTTTTGCCTTTGGACGGTAAAAACCACTTAAATACTCCTGACGTCGCTTATCAACGAAAGCACGTTCGCGCAGCCATTTCAAATCGTAGACCGATTTATGTTTATCACTCCAGTCGATAATCAATTGTTTGGTTTGCTCATTTGTCTACGGGGGAAAAAGAATCAAAACAATTATGTTACGGCTCATTAAAATCAATGAGGATGCAACAGTCAGTCAGCCAGACAGACAGCTAAGCAACCAGTCGGTGTGGCAACCAGACCGTCTCACTCACTCACTTGTAACTTCTCAACGCGAACATTGACATCAAATTTATCCCAGTCATGTTTACGTGACTTTGAAGTGGGATGAAAACATTGTGTACAGTAGCAATTATCACGTAACCAAACACTGGGAATTTTTAGCGCTTCCCCGGCGGTGGAGGTGCTGGCAGCACTCTCGTCTGGTTGCACCACAACAAATTTGTCATTTTCCACGGTGGCACTAATCAGTCGACGTAATAGATGATTAACGCGAAATTGCGATGGGGTCGTTGTATTGATTAAACGATTTAGAGATTTTGTTAACATTTTTTTAGTCCGTTAAATAGCGATGACGATTCCGCGATGTTAATGCAATGCCGGTTTGCAGGGAACTATTTTTCAATTGTTGTGCTGCGATAGATAATAGAACTTATGTTTGCCTCAGCTATGATAATGAGTTTTTAAGCGCAATGAGTTTTTGAGTCATTATCAGTAATCGGGTCTTCTTATCAATGAAATATTGGTACTCTCAGCAATGTTTGATTTCAAATTAAACGAGTCATTTTAGCGTATACTCTTGTTTATTTCGATTCTACTTTGTTGTTGTTGCTTTTGCTCTTTCAAATCTGATATCTGTCATGAATGGACTTTGTTTGCTGTGGTCTTAAGAGTTGACCACCAATGATTATTGGATTGATGTATTTATTAAATAATACTTTGAAGTGGCTACTTATCCAACAACACCAAGCTGAATGTATAGATTAACACATGAAACAAATTCGCACAAATCTATTGTTTTTGTAAAAGTATACCTTTCGCATTAAAACCCGGTACAAAACTCTTAGTTCGATATGGAACCACTTAATAGATAACACTGTGCAACAACATTTTTTTGGGACTAAAACCAAATGTATACACGCCACCATTAACTGGAGTAGTCAAAGTCTTGGAATTTGGTTTCATAATTGTGGTATGATTCTTATATTCCGCAAGTGGCATGGTTTAAATCTTAAGTTCCGCCCTTAGACGTGGTATTTTGCTTCCTTCAAAACTATTTTTTTGCTATGCCCATAGGTGTGTTTTTATTCTTCCTCTCTTAGAGGTTATTTCTTTTTAACCTTTTTTAAGCTAAAGCGTTTTTAGGTTCCCCCAGTGATTAATACTTTAGAAAATATTGTGAAAAATATTAAAAAAATATTTTTAGAAAATCAACGCCTGTGACTAGTTGCTTAAAAAATATTTTAAAACAAGTAGTAGTAAAGTCGGACGGGACCGGCTATATTATACGCTTCACCACTTTGGGTATATTCAACAAATGAATCCTAACAGACGTCGCATTTTTGAAGGACCATTAACATGAAATTGGGTCCATAAACATGCCATTCTGCAACCCATACTAAATTTTTCAATTGGCCAGATATAGAGTTGCTTCCTACAATGTGACAAAGTTATGTAAATCAATGTAAAGCTAATGTCAATCGGACTCCGGTTGATTATATGGATATAAACATGAAGAGGTGCACCATTTACTTAAAATCGGACGAAAAAATATATAAAAGCTATATCGAAATCTAAATCGATTTCATCGAAACTTGTACGTTTTTTGCATATCGGCCAGATTTTGAGTTCTTGTTGCACCATTTACCTAAAATCGGATGAAACTATATATGGGAGCTACATCTAAATCTGAATCTATTACTACAAAACTTGGCGAACGTTAGGCAGTATGTTGTTCAAAATTTGGTGGCATAGGCCCTAACTTTGGGTCATTGTTGCAACTTTTACTTCAAATCGGACGAAACTATATATAGGAGCTATATCTAAATCTGAACCGATTTCAACAAAACTTGCCACACGTTATGTTATAGAACTTCAGTAGCTTGTGCAAAATTTTATGTCAATAGGACCTATCTGGGGTGTTTGGTGCTGCATATATTTAACTTCTAGGTAATACTAATCGGACGGAAATATATATGTAGAAGCTATGTCTAAATCAGAACCAATTTCAACGAAACTTGCCAGAGATTAAATTATATTAATTCAACACGTTATGCCAAATTTCGTGCAAATCGAATGCTATGTAGGGACTTTGGTGCACCGTTTACCTTAAATCGGACGAGAATGTATATGGGAGCTATAATTATATATAATTTATATTAAATTGAACGATAATATATATGAGAGCTATATCTGGTACAGCATTTACATTAAATCGGACGAAAATGTATATGGAAGCTATATCCAAATCTGAACCGATTTTCAGGAAACTTAACACACATCATTCTAGACCTAATTCAGTGCGCTGAGCTTAATTTCGTGCAAATCGAAAAATACAAAGGGACTTTAGTACACCATTTACATTAAATTGGACGAAAATATATATGGGAGCTATATCTAAAACTGAACCGATTTTCAGGAAACTTAGCACACATCATTCTAGACCTTATTCAGTATACTATCCCAAATTTCGTGCAAACCGAAGGATATATAGGGACTTTGGTACACCATTTACATTCAATCGGACGAAAATATATATGGGAGCTATATCTACATCTGGATCGATTTTCAGGAAACATAACACACATCATTTTAGACCTAATTCAGTACGCTGTGCTAAATTTCGTTCAAATCGGAAGATATATAAGGACTTTGGTACACCATTTACATTAAATCGGACGAATATATATATATATATATATATATCGGAGCTATATTTAAATCTGAACCGATTTTCAAGAAACTTAACACACATCATTTTTGACCAAATTCAGAACACTATGCCAAATTTTGTGCAAATCGAAGGATATATAGGGATTTTGGTGCACAATTTACATTAAATCGGACGAAAATATATATGGGAGCTATATTTAAATCTGGATCGATTTCCAGGAAACATAACACACACCATTTCAGACCTAATTACGTACGCTGTGCTAAATTTCGTTCAAATCAAAAGATATACAGGGACTTTGGTACACCATTTACATTTAATCGGACGAATATATATATATATATATATATATATATGGGAGCTATATCTAAATCTGAACCGCTTTTCAAGAAACTTAACACACATCATTTTTGACCAAATTCAGAACACTATGCCAAATTTCTTGGGCCAAAGAAGTGAACTGTGCCAAATTTCATCCAAATCGGATGCGGCCTGTACTCTGTTAACAAAAATACATGGACGGACGGACAAACGGACATGCGTACATCGACTCAGAAAGTGATTCTACGCATATTCTCAAAAGGAACCATGGGTCTATCTCGATTCCTTTTGCCTGTTACAAACATATGCACAAAGACATAATACCATGTACCGCAGTGTGAAGGGTATAAAAATCCACACATGTGATTAGTCCCTTAAAACATCCACGCCTGTGATAAGTCCCTTAAAAATAGTTTTAAACTAGTGAGCGGAGCAGTATAGTCGGACGGGGCCGACCATATGATACCCTACACAACTTCCACTAAAATCTAACTTTCTGTGGTTCTATGTTCTGAGTTTGGGCAATATTTCGCGATATTTGCACCCTATTGACCGATTAGGGGTCAACACATATTAATAATATTCAGTACAGCCCTTCTAATTACTTGTCCAAATTCCCTTCACCGTGGATTGTGTTGTGATGTACTGTTTGCGGCCTATAGACCAACTCAACGAAAAAAAAACACAAAAAATTAAGTTTTCGGTCCACTTCATTCCAATATTTTATCTGATCATCATCGAAAATTATAGGCGTTGTCCTTGACCATACCTGGATCCTCATGGAAAAATTTAACGCGAATACCGCTATATTTCCGCCCTCTAGTGTGGTAATGGGATTGGATTACGTAAGAACCTGTAAATATTTACGTGTAACTCCTACTTTCGAATACATACGACGATATAATTGGTATCAATTTAAAGGTCAACCACTCCTCTTCGATATACTATCAACTTCTGTGGTCTATGTCCTACAGGGGTGAATATATGCGCTATAGAATACAAATTTTGTAATTTTTCACACAAAAGTCAGGGTCTATTTGACCCGCTAAATATTGACCGATCTTTATCAAAATAGGCATGCTTATTCTTTGGCCTGATCCATGTAAAAGTTCGCGAAGTTTGGTCCATATTTGAGGCCTCTGGAGCGACCAGAAAATCAGTCAAAAATAAAATTTTTGGTCCATTTCATCCCCTAAATAATAACCGATCTTTATCAAAAAACAATAGGGGTCTTCATTGGCCAGAACGCATCCTACATGCAAAATTTCGTGAAGATTGGTCCATAACTGTGGCCTGTATCGCGTTTACAAGTTATAATGGGCAGACGGACAGACGGACGGACGGGCGGACACACATGTCTAGATCGACTCAGCTAGTCGAAATATGACGATCGGTATACTTAAAGGTGGATCTAGGACCAATATTTCGCGGCGATACAAACTCCTGGGGCTGCACAAAGCTATAATACCCTGACAACATAGTTGTGTAGGGTATAAAAAATCCACGCCACGATTAGTGCATTAGAAAATATTTTCATAAAATCCACACCTATGATTATTTTTCTATCTAAAAATATTTTTAAAAAATCAACGGATGTGATTAGTCCTTTAATTTTTTTCCTCAACTGAATTTAACAAAGTTTTTTTTTCAAATTAAAATATATGGAACCTAGGAACAATTCGTTTAAAGTCGTTCATAATATTTTGAACAAAATCGAATGACAAAATATTATTCCATTCATCTGATTAAATGTTCTGAAAAAATGATGATGCCGATAACAAATAGACAAATTGCCTATCCACATGCGTCAAACCTATAACCCATGCTGTGGTGGGGTTAATAACCTATCTACCTAGTTGGTTAGGAAATATTGAAACATCATACACGCTCTGCAAATAGACACGTCATCCTTATACTTTGTACCATACACGAGGAAGAAAAAAAAAACAAGTATAAAACAGATAAGAGCGGTTCTTAGTAAAATTGAATATAAAAAAGTGTTCGAAATGTAATCTCACAATTTATTTTACAAGTTGCACATCAGCAGCGGCAACAAACTTGCGTTTATTTCATTTCGAATCCGCAGCAGCAACGAGAACAACGACGCTGACAGTATTTCTTCATTTGGAATCTGTACTAAATTTAATTATGACTACAAAATTTAATTTATAAACTTGTAAGAGCTCTAAGCATGGTGGTGGGGATGCTAGTGACGGAGAATATGTAGTGTAAACACACTCGAACACACACTCTCAACTGTCGTTTAATTTTATTAAAATGTTGACGTTTATGTTAGGGTTTTTATATGTTTTTTTTTTTTTTTTTTTGGTATATA